CAACCTCGTTCCCAGGGCTACTCTGCGCCCAGAGATAGCCCTGGCATCGGCCGGTCAAATATGGATTTTGATTGGCTAAGATTTTTCTCACTTTTCATTGGTTGCTCATTTGTTGTGACCTTTTGACACAGAAAAATAGAAGAAACAATTCAAGTGTAAAGTTGATGGAAATTTTTAAACTAAAATGCCTGAGTTCAGCGTCTACAAGATGCTAAAACTACAAAAAGAAAAAACATGAAGTAGTCTATCGCCATGCACTAGGTCTAATTACAGTAAGTAGAAGTGAAGATGTGAATATTCGTGAGACGTTTGATCATGTTGAAGACAAAAAGAAAGCGAAAAAGACTTTGCATAGCATTACAAAATATTTTTTGCAATATTTCAAACGAACCACCATTTAGAAATTATTGTAAATGATATATATATAAAGTGTAATAAAATTACATGTCATTCTTGGCGTACTTTTATCGCCTTGTACATCTGATCGCCGTTCGTTCTCGTAGTGGGCACGAAATGTTATGTTCGGATTTTTTTATTTATCATTAAGCTTATATTACTCACCAAAGATGAATATCTTAGATCAAGGCGGGAAAATAAGTTGTGAAAAAAGGATTTTGGCATGCTTTTTAAATTTGCGCGATAGAGTTCAAAGTACAATTGACTCAGCAAGATGCCTAGCCGGTATTTTTGCAAAATGTTTTTCAAACTTTAAAAATAAAACTTTCAAAAATCTTATGGTTTAGTACCTTCTAGCTTAGATGAATTGGCGTTTTAAAACTTTCTAGACTTTCTAGATAGATTTGTAGATATATCAGCGAGATAAGCCATGAAAAAGGACTAAAAAGAGATCAATTGACATGTTTGAACTTCTTCAACAAACATTGACATTTTCTTTTACAGTAAGTAAAGTTACCTTATAAATTTGAACAATTTGCCACACAGTCTTCAGCAGCCTAAGCGAATTCAAATTCCTGTTTTCAGTCATCTCGATGATTTGAGTCGATATCTCTTGAGTTTTTATACAGCTGCTTTGGTCTTCGACGAATCCATAACCAAGGTTAACTTACTACTCGACAATTCAAAAAGAGAGTTCACAAATCTACTGTTTTTTCCTCTTGATCTTTAACATGTCTTTAACTCCTTGTTGTCAATCACTTGAAGCGAAAAGGTAGTCAAGACTGTTTCTTTTAGGGCCACAGTTTGCTAAACTGGATTGACAAACCCTCAAAAATGACTTAGTTTTTCCTTCTCTTTCTTTGATGAACAAGTTTTTCTGGACGTGCATTCAAACACGGATCGGAATCTAATGAAATTGGCGGGAATCTTCCAGATTGCATTAAAAACGTGTGAAAATTAGCTTTTCAGAATGTTTTGAAAAGTTGAAAAAAGTCAAATGTTGCTCTCCGAACATTATAATTTTCCAAAACCAAATAGCGCCTGCATTCAGCGGTAATCCACACTAAACACCCACTGAGAGTGGGTGTCACGTGACCGGCCAATGCCAGGGCTATCTCTGTCCGCCATTTTGAAAAAAGCGAGCAGAGTAGCCCTGGGAACGAGGTTGGTCAAGTATACCCGCGAGGCGCGCGATCGTGACGTAGCACCACAGGTAATCCGCATTYWTGCTAWGAGYGCGCGCCGATACATATACATAATAAAAGCGTACGCATTCGTTCTTTTCTGTCTCTAATGCATTAGTTGGGCGGCCTATGGTTATTTTTAAAACATCTCTAATTCGGGGTTCCTGTGTAATTACGTCACCATGACGTCATGTATTGTATTATTTCATATTCTCTTTTCCATAACGTCATCTCCTATGGGCCTACACTGCTTCATAGCAAGTAACTATATTTTGCTTGACTTATATACTAATATTTTGGCTTACTGAGAACCATGTGGGAAGTACTGTGTTCTTCATGAAACAGATTGAAAATATTAACGAGCATGCTCAGAGTAGTAAAACTTCCATCCAATGATACACATTGGATTAGTAGGGCACAGGTAGCCCAGAGTTAAATAAACCATAATAATCAGGCAATCACGTGCACATCTACGAAGTAACAAAATTTCCCATAATTTCTTGGTTTGATAGCACAGGAATACCAAAGTCACATGGTGCTCTGCTGGTGTTACGTTCCATCGACGTTTGATCCTTTGGATACTTTTGCAATCAAAAAACAACAAATGGACATGCCGTTCGCGATAGACTAACACGAAAAGTTGTTCCAATCCTAGAAAATACTTACTCCTTCGTCAACAGTAATAATCCTAACAAGACCAAACATTGAAGTACTATAACAGCACATGTAAGGACGCCATATTTGAATTCTTCGAGAAGACTAACGATTAGATGTCTACAATCCTGTACAATTGGCTCTAGACTCACAGCGATAAGTTAATTTGTTGTAATAGCGATGTTTTATGGCAATAAATAGGTTTGTCAATGTGATATTTTCCCATTTACTGTGTAATTTTTCGCAGTCTTCTCTGTTTATGCTTTGTATTTAAACCGGTTTTTAAACTTATTGTCCATAAACAATGTACCAATGTCTTTAAAAAATGATTGTAATTCATTTGAAAAAGCAGAAAAAAATTGTGTTTATGTAATTATAAGTCACGATAAAAGTCCCMTGTCAAAACAAAAATGTATTAGGTCTCGGTATGCCAAGCTCGTTGCTTCTGAATGTGACGGATTCATCTGACCACCTCAACGTGATCGAAAACCACGCAGAATCTCAAGCAAACAACGTTTACAGTCTTTACACATATTTTAAATAATTGAATTGTAAGGATGTATTTACAAGTATAATGCAAATTATGGTTCAGGAAATGTAGAAAACACAAAATGCACAATTTAACTTTTATTTGTGAATATTTATGCCATACTTATAAAAGTCTCAAAATCAGTCATTGTATACTAAGTTTGATTTAAGTAGAGAAAAAAACAAGCACCCTGCATGTGCAGTGATATTAAATCACAGCAAAATAGTGTTAGTACTCTCAAGTTACCCTGCGAGCAGAGGATTTTGGAAAAATCCTATGCACGCAGGGTATCTCAAGGCAAAATGAGACTGTTTGGGTAATGTCATGCAATGAAACAATGTACATTGATTTATAGCAAAAACTGCATGTCTTGCAATAATGTCTTTGGTGGACCTTAGAAAATGCAATGTAAATGTTGGAAATAAGTTTTTAACTGTCAAGGATATATAACCAAAAGAACCTATTATTAACAGAGTTGCCTTAATTATACAGTCAATATATTTGAACAAAACTGGTAACACGATATATCATGATATATCATCAAGCATTGGTTTTGAATTTTTGAATGCCTTTTGGAAATGCTACTATGCAAGTTTTATATGACTGTTCAGTGTAGCGCTGTAGCTATTTATTGCAAAGGTCATGGAGAATTCAAGCTTTTTGATTCTCATGCAAGAGATTTTCTTGGCTTACCATATCTTAAAGGTACTTGTGTGCTTTTTTAAATCAATGACTGTACTACWTTTATGAACTACTTTCAGAATTTATATGTTGGAGCTGACCGTTCAACAATATTAATTGAATTAAGGGTGTGCATATTGAATGTCTGAATTGTGCTTAGATCATAATATCAAACATTCTGAAGAAATGCATGGCAATAATATAAGGAAGTTGCTTTACATAATAATAATGAAAACTGCAATTGTAACCAATGACAACATTACACCTCTTAAATGTTAGTGTGCTATATCATTTTATGGTAAGGTTTTCAGTAAGCAAAAATACTGGTATATAAGTAAAGCGTGATGTACTCTAGGCCGTCAAGTTTCTGACAGGGATTKATCGCAATGTTTTTGCTCTTTCTTTTGCTTGCCATCAAGGACACCCATACATGTACATCATTTTGTGGGAAACAAAAAGACTTGCTGACAAGAGTTAGAGAAACCCTTCCCATTCTCTAAGTAGCCCGACTTTACGCTCATAGAGCGTCTGGTTATTTTTAGATTCAAATTCAGTGTTTTAATTTATTTCAATTTCAGAAACATACTACCAACTGATACCAGGAACTTACTGGACACCGCCTTACACGTGTTACACTGCTGGGGGTAATTCTTGTAGCAGCTGTTTAACTCACCCAAGTGCAGCGTATTATGTTAGCCCGAGTAAATTATCAGGTATTGTTCATGCGCACAAGATCCGTTATAGCGCACATTGAGATGCAATATTTTTAATCCCATTTCATTGCTTTATTTCGCAGGTCATTCAAACTTCTATTCTCATTATGCAAGTTCTACGTCTTCGGTGTCTTCCCAACACTATACTCAGGACTCTTCCAGTCAAAACAAAACTCGCAGACCTCGTAGGCCCTGGACTCGAGCGGTTTTTTCCAACCTGCAACGTAAGGGACTGGAGAAGAGATTTCAAGTTCAAAAATACTTAACTAAAACTGATAGACACCAGCTCGCTTCAATGTTAGGACTGTCCGATAACCAAGTRAAAGTTTGGTTTCAAAACCGAAGAATGAAATGGCGGCAAGATGCTCGAGAATCTGTTACTAGTACAAACACTGAAGGCGGAGAATAGTGCGCATGAGCTATAAATCAATTCTCATAATCCTTTGAAGGGAGGTCTAGTACATATATTTAAATTATTGAGTCGCATCGTCCATGCATAACTCTTACAGACGGCTCACAAATGTCAGCAACACGTGAATGTTTTAAATTATGATGTGTTATCATGCGACGATTGTATGATATATTTAAGGCCTGGATGTAATAATTACTACAAATAAAGCTATATGATAAMTCGAGACAACTGAATAAATAAGAATAAGCCACTATGTACATTGTAGTTGTTCAGACGTTTCTTTATCATACATTTCTTAGAAACATTATGCGTCACAAATTCAACTCTTAATAATACACGTATACCTCAGGAGCTGCTGCTTATACGAAGGGTGGGTAAAATTATTCGCAGCTGATGGAGTTTTTTTAAATGTTCAAGTATAAATTTTATCCGTTGTATGCATTTGAGAGTAGGTAGTCCACTTAACACTTCGTAGTACGTCGACCCCGTGGAAATTGGCTCAGGATACTCGAAACGATTTAATATCTTATTATAAAATTTTGGATATATAACGCGCGCTCTGATTGGCTGACGACCGTGTTTATATCAGAGGACAGAGACACGCGCGCCGTTTTATATTTCTTATCATAAAATTTTTGATATATAACGCGCGCTCTGATTGGCTGACGACCGTGTTTATATCAGAGGACAGAGACACGCGCGCCGTTTTATATTTCTTGAATAGAGACCGTATCATCGGTAATGTACGACAGATTTTTGAAATTTTAGAGACAAACACTGGACACCCTGACGCTATATTCATAACTGATGTCGGCCTTTTGAAGGTGCAGCTGTTGGGACCCGGGCAGAAAGTATTTGATTCCATTTACTGAAAACCCAAAGAGGCAAGACCTGTTGTATCCACGATGATCTTAATGTAGATGACATCATCGTTTATATAGGATAGCTTCTGGAGATTCTGTTGTGAGACAAACACCGGACACCCTGACTCTACATTCATGCTTGATGTCGGCCTTTTGAAGCTGGAGATGTTGGGATCTGGCCGGAAAGTATCGGTAATGTCATTCTGGCGATCATGATCCAGTAVCTTAAAGGTAACCTTTTGACGGAAAGGCCATGGGAGAAGAGGGTCATAGTCACCCTTCATGATAACAAAAAACAGTGAAAGRTGGGTTCCYTTTCCCATACCATCGCCATTAGGATACACACGGGCACAAACTTTATATCCATAACGTCCCACGTAGAAAGGGGGACTATATATAGAAGGGGTYTTTCCAMTGATAGMTTCGTGGTGCCTTCGACTGAACTCGTCAATTTTCCAAATATATGTCCCATCGTAGGAAGTAGCCTCGAGCATCTGAATTTTCAAGTCATGTTCAGCAAGCTGGATGTCATGAAGAGCAAGTTGATGTTCATTCCTACCCAGTCTCCTATCGAGTGTAACGGAGCCACCATCAAGGGACCTGGGACCCATTGATGCACTAAGACTTCCACGTGATAATTCAGACTCCAATGCGCTGAGTTTGACTTCTTGTTCTGCCAAGGTGCTGCGAATCTCATCGAAATTATAAGAGAAATCGTTGTTTTTTCCAGATGCAGCCGAAGCGGAAGCCTGCCAAAATGAAAAAGGTTCAGATGTAATCAATCATCTCGATGAAAATGGATGCGATTTTCCAAAAATCAAAGTGAAAGTTAAACAAGTAATGAAATACCGGTATTCGTTCTTTCAGGTCTGCAATCTCTCTCCTGTGTTCTCCCACAATTTGTTCTACTTTACCAAGTCGTGTTTGATATGATCTCAAATCTTGAGTTGAAGCAGCTAAAGTTTCACGATGTGTGGATAGCTGACTTTGTAACGAGATGTTTTCTTGCTCTACTTTTTTAAGCTTTTCCGATAATTCTATTTCTTTTTGTTCTTTTTTCCTGGAAAATTCCAACATGAGATTGAGGTGTTCCGCTTTCTGGCTCTGGTCATGTTCGTTCATGGCGTCATCTTTTGCCTGAAAAACATAATAACATAGATACTTAAAATTAGGCCGAGGTTAGCCTGCGTTCAGCCGAACCAAAACCAAAACTRTTTACAACAGTTGCTTTTAAAACAGTTTTGGTTCGGCTGAACGCAAGCTAGCCGAGGTGTTCGGAGTCCTGTCTTTGGACTTCTTCATTCATGTCATTTTCCTGAAACTCAAGAATATAAGCAAAAAATGCAAGCATCTTTAACCTTGTTTCTTTTTTTTCTTTGAGCACACAGTTCTAAATGCCACTGATAGCTTTCATATGATACTTACTTGGCTCCACTGACATATTTATTACTCGTGACCAGGCCCTAGGCCGGGTCACGAGTCAGAAAATGCAGCGCGTATAGTTTTTTTTTTTTTTTTTTCTATGTGAGACCTTTGTCTTCGGGCTGACCTTTGCGTCCCGAACGCATATCACATTACGAACTCGGCTGTACCTTTGCCCCCGATCGCACTCCGATCTCTAAACGAAATATCATATTACGAACTCGGCTGTAAACAAGCGTATCATAGAACAGCAAAACTGCTCGGGATTTACTGTAGCTTTTATACTAACGAGATATAAATCGATACTTCGTAGATAAGTGAAGCCCGTGGATGATCTCATACAGCACGCAGTTTGAATTGAAGAAATATTCTTCAAAACTCGGAATTATCGATTGTTGAGGTCAGACTCTGCCGCTTATTACTCATCTGAGCATTTGGGATAGCGGAAAGTTTTCTGTTAAAGGCGAAGAGATCTCAAGTTATACGATCGACAGCTCTTCTACATACGAACCAGTACTCTAAACAATCGTATCATAGCATATCAACAGCAATAACTGCCCGGGATTTACTGTAGTTTTTTAGTAATTCTTTGTTATTCGAGGCCTTTTGTTATTCCAAAACATTCATCTGTGTAAGAGCATGTATTAGGACATCGCCACACGGCGCCGAGCTGTCTGATTTTGATACTGTAGTATACTTGACCTTTTAAAAATTTAAAAATTACTACAATATTCTTACTATGTTTCACTCGAAAGACTATCAGAGTGAACGATTTGATTCTACGCTTTTAAAGATTTGTCAAAAATTATTGTATATCTAGTTCCTTCAAAAGCTGCTAAATATTACATGAAAAGTAATCAACAAGGAGTTACTTTCACAAATATAGTTTGATTTCAAATCACTTTGTGAATTATAAGTATAGATGAACTTCATGTCTTTGGTAGCACTATTCTTTACATCTAAACCAGACCCTCCTTAGAGCGTCAACTCGGTCGAACTATTTTTGAAAATTGAGAAAGACTGTATATTACATGGTTGGTCAAACACAAGAAAAGTTTTAAATGAGCTCATTTTGAAAAAGTACTGAATAAGACAGCACTTTTCAACACCTTTAGGGCACGAGTACACCCTGCTGTCAGGGTCTAGTTTACAATTACGATTGTAAATGTTCTCGATTTCTCATTGGTCGATTGCATGCCGTGTTAAATAAAGGTACATACCAAGGTCGTGGGTTTTCTTTCATGTGCGCGAAAGCGAGAAAATTTTGTGTTTTTTTTTTCATAGCACGCGCATGAATTTTATGTGGTACAAACAATTTATTTTAACAGTTTCTCTTGGTATGTCCTCTTATTACCACGGCTGGCGCCAATTGTTATTTGCCTGTATTCGATTTCTATAATGGCTGATCATGGTGAGGTTAATAACAGGACATACCACGAGAAATTTTCGTAAATTATGGCACATGCGTAGAAGCAATGGTTCYGACTCCACTATGATCATCATTTTTTTAAAACGTCGTCATCATTTTTTTTAAAACGTCGATCACAAAGAATCCTAAGACACCATGCAGAAATCGATGTTCCGATAATCTGTCTTGGAATGCACTATGCAGTATTCAACGTTTTCTATATAAGCATTACCGTCATGTTATGGAATGGGAGCCTATATCTGGGACTAGGTTTTTTGTAAATAGGAGTATGATCATATCTATATCCATTTATGACCATTTATGCTCTTGGTGCGTTGAGTACAATTACCTTGAACGAACAGCCGGCGTAATAGAATTTGCATGGTTTTTCAGATTCAGAACATTCTCTTTCAAGATGATGTTGCATTTCTTCTCGAGCAATGTTGCTGGTGCCACAGCGTTCACAGGTCATGGGCTCGATGTTGCCCAGAGCGAGTTGATAGCAATTCAAACCAGCAACAACCGTAAAAAATCCATCATCTGGGAATCTGGAACCCACTGAGGATGTATTAGGATTTCCAAGTGGCTCATATGTCGAATTATCGTCAGTACATTCGGCAGGGTTATGGGGTACAGGTTCTTGATCCTGCTCTCCTAAAGCCAAAGGGTCAAGGTTATCTTCCCCAATTTGATCATCTCCCAATCTTTCGATGACATGCTAAAATATTAATGATCGAACGTATGTTATTCCCATGCCTAAAAGTAAAAGTTAAATTGCGGATGGAATCAACAAAAAACGCATTTAAAAAGACCAAAACCTTAAGCACACTTTGCCATTACTGACATTATGGTTTTGTATTCTATTCAAATAAATAAAAATCATTACAACAAACAATTCTAAAGACAAAAATGGAGGATATCAAATGTGTCTTTGGTTGTTTTGTCCCCTGAATATATACCTCTAAATGTGAATATTGTGGACGCTTTAGGGTATGTACGCCTAACCCGAGGCACTAGATTTAAACGTAGTAAAGAGGGAATCAACCCTCTTCCCCCACACGTAATACCGTGCGTTCCACTGGCTTTGAAATTGTTGGCCATTTCAACTTATCGCTGGATTGCTTTATCAAGAACTGATCAGAATTGATATTTAATGAAAAAATTGAAATGACTTTTTGCTTTGGATCCGCCCCTATTATAAATAGTTTAACATGACTTATACAGTGGTTATCACCAAACCAGAAAAAAAAAAAAAAAAATATATAAAAAAAATACATAGTTCATTGAATAGTTGAACAGATGTCGACACATTTTTTATAATTTCAAATGAAACATTTTATTTATAAAGTTATATCGTGATCACCTCGAAATCCATTGTTTCAAGAGGGACGTTTAATGTCTAAGATCCCAACCTCGTACCCAGGGCTTTCTCTTCCTCATGAGCGTCCGCCATTTTGTAAATAGCGAGGAAGAGAAAGCCCTGGGTACGAGGTTGCTAACATCCCTCTCACATGAATAGAAATGAGAAAGATTTAGACCTGAATTTCCCTCATGCATCATTAATGAATAAATAATGAGGTATAAGGTAAATTCCCTCATTACTATTCATGAGGTGCAGTCCCTCATATAAAAATAATCCGGACGATCAAAACAGTTTTGCACGCTTTTCCAAAAAGCTCAATACTTTTATAACGCACTGGTACCTCTTATAACGTATTATTAGCAAATAAACCACGGCTGAGCCTTATTTATTTGTTAATTAGACCAAGAGTTGAAAGTCCATGACTACGAGGTAAAAGTCCAGGAGGCCGAAACGTATTCRCTAAATTATAGGGCAACTTTGACAAAWGACCATAAAGAACAATTTTTCTCGACTAGTTTCGGTTCATTCGAAGCAACCACGGTCTATCATGACMGGAMSC